TCCACTGTTGTTTTAATTTTCATCATTTTAATTATATATCATTGTTTTACTGGGTTAGCATGCATTTATTAATCACCTGCTATGTGCAAATTAGTATGAGGGATAAAAAGAAGACAATACAGTTCACTCTTGAGTAACAGGTGTTTGGTTTGCAAGTGTCTACATAGACATGGGTTTTTTAAATAAATATATTGGAAACGTTTTTTGGAGATTTGTTACAACTGGTAAGACTTTCAGTCAATAAGTGTCTTAGTAGTTAAGTTTTGGGGGAGTCAAACTTATACACAGATTTTCAGCTGTCCAGGGGTCAGTGCCCTTAATCCCCACAGTGTTCAAGGATCAAGTGCAAATGGTAAGATGCAGCTTTGTACTCAAATCGTTTCCTGTATGGGGGTGCCAACACTATTTGATGAAAGCAGAAAGGTGTAGGCACCTTAAGAATTAGTGAGGGAATTAACATTTGCTAGATACCTACTTGGGCCAGTATATGTCACATTGGTCCAAGTAAGCAGCCAATAAATATGAGGGAAATATTTTTTAAATAGATGTAAAAATTGAGAATCAGACACTCTTTCCATTATATCAAAAGGAGCTCCAAGAAGGGAAATATGAATTTTGGGACGGGATGGGATCTGTATGCTCATGTGTGGGGTGTTACAGAATCATTTGCAAAGATTGACAAGAGGAAATGGAAGAGGACCATAGAGCAAAGGCAGCCAGGCTGTTGTTGCAAGGTGTCTACGTGGGCAGGAAGGGAAGTAAGGAGATATGAACATCTAACTTGGGTCCTTAATCACGGAATTGTATTGAAACTAATTTGTGCCATTTTAGGTTTTTAAAATATAGGTAAATTATACTTAAGACTTTGCTGTAGGAAAAGTGGAATGGATCTGAGGGAATGAGGCCAGAGGTTCAGAGCTGCTGGCTGGGGAGGGGATGTCATGGTGGTAGATACCTGGCAGGAGAACACTTGAATAGAAGCAACTCTGCAGGAACTTACAAAAAAGACACATCTGAGGATGTGATGAAGATACTCAAGCTAGAAGGCCCCAAACCAACAAAAAGAGTTATGAAATGTTATTTTCTTCTAATTTCCAGACAGTTCCTCACTCAAATCAAAACATGTTGCTTACTATGTAATTACATATCACCAGCTGGTTGCACTTGTGGTAAGGCTTTTATATGTCTTTTTCATACTTAACCAGGAAAATTCTCCTTTGTTGCACATATTGCCAAATATGATACATGAAAAAAAAAGGCATTGGAAACTGAACAGTACAGACTCACTTTTGGCCATAGGAAAAATCAGGACTATATTTTAAAATTTCTTTGAAACTCTGGGAATCACTTTCTTTTTTTCACTTTTAGCCACCTCCAACCTTTCAACACAAGATTTTACTTCTGAAAATGAACTCCATTTTCCCCACCTGGAATTATAGTAGTGTTAAATCATCCAGGCAATCTCTGGCATCACTATCTAAAGACTTAAGAACTTTAAATGTACATAGATATCTTCCCTTAGAGAAATTAGGGGGTGGTACAGATAATACTTCTACTAAAGGTTTTCTATCGTTGGCCCTTACTTTTCAAAAAGAGTATCAACACCAGTAAAGTGTAAGATCTGGCAAAAAGTTTGCAGTTAGGTAACATTTCTTTTTACAATAACAACTTAAAATCCCTGTTTGCTGTATCATTTACACTGAGTTAGATATATTATCTGATTTGGGTATGCTTCTCTTTTCCGGGACAATATTTTAGATAATAAAAGAAATACAATGCATGTACCATGTATGAGAAACTCAGAATACCAACCCTTATCTCTGTTAAGTTGTTTTTCTTTTGGTATTTCAATAATAAAAACTAAATGAATGAAGTATAGAAATTTAGGGAAATGCATCATCTTTGAACTAAATCATCTTGGTTTTAAACAGAACTGAAGTGTCATGTAGGATAGTATTGGAAACCTGCTTTCAACACTGACATTTTAAGACTAATTTCAGCACATTCTTTTATGTAGTCATAATTATATATTTTTGGTGAAATAATTTTGCCATCTTTACATTTTTGCATTCCTACACACACATGAAGTAGAGGAAAAAGGTCCAAATGTAAAGATGTGCATGTATTTTTGTCAGGTTATGTGTATTTTTTCCTACCTTCTCCTCTTCTGTTTAGTTTGTTTAAACCTAATTCTATACAGGGATAGAATTATGACTGAATTGGAAATGTATGCCTGTACAGATACACACTCATCATTTTCTCCAGTATCCTACCTCCCAATAATTCCCACACTTCTTTATTCTTTCATTGTTTTTGCTCTTCCTCACCCATCTCCCAGCTCATACAATGAAGTGCTTCTTTTAAAATCTGTATCTTTTTCGTTTTACTTTTCCTCTTTGTATCTGGCAGTGGCTTTAACAACAATCTGCTTTGCAGATTACTAAAAATACTTGATATACTTCCTCCTTTTAACCACACTATCCNTTTCCTCTTTGTATCTGGCAGTGGCTTTAACAACAATCTGCTTTGCAGATTACTAAAAATACTTGATATACTTCCTCCTTTTAACCACACTATCCAGATTCTAGTTATTAAGTTTGATATACCCCTCATTTCCTTATCCCTCTGGAATGGAATCTTGTACCTTGTCTATCTTTTGCCACTGTATTAACATGTCGACTTTGCGAAAGGGAGTGTGCTCTGCAGTGCTCATCCACATGCAGAAACACTTGGGACAGAACATATTTATGGTCAGTCCACTATTCAGCTCTGAGAAAGAGCTGAAGTACAAGAACTGCCACGATGACATAAATTCCGTACAGCATCCTTCCACTCCTTCAGTTAAACTCGCTTCCTTCACGCTCTGCCCCACCTAGAGGGAAACTTTCCAGTGTTTCCGGTTGAGGCAAGTTTTTCGTTTAAATACTGCGCATCTGTCTATATTCTAGTTATTAAACCTTGTCATCTCATATTTCTTTCCAGATGTAGTGGAGTGTAAAAGGCTGTTTATCCTTATCAGACCAAGGAGTCGGGTCTGGAACTGCTTTGCCCACAGCAGAGACCCCACCTCACCAACCTATCCCTCAACCTCCAGGTTCCACTTTCCTTTTGGGAATGTTCCTGACTGCTGCGGCATCCGCGTCCTCAGATGTGGGCTTCCTTCCATCACCTTCCTGTTCTATGAAGACTTCACTTAACAACGAATGGTTCACAATTTTCAGACACTTTTACACTAATCCCATTTGTTTGTTTTTGAAACCCTAAGCAAGACGGATGGATCCCTCTTCTCAATTCTGTTTTATTTCTAAGACACAAGACCATTGCTTCCTCCGGTCAATCCTAGGAGTGGGCTGTGGCGTCACCCTGCAGGCTGGACCACCTCTCCCGTCTTCCTCGCGTACAGAATGTGGCAGGACGCAGCCTTTGTTTTCATTAATAACGCCCACCAGGCATTTAGAAGTCTTTGGATAATGCCACACAAAATGTAGACCATAGCTTTTCCTGGCTAGAATTCGTTCCTTTGCTCCATTTCCTGTTTCTCGGCCTCTCCCTTCTCTTCCCACCCCTCTTCATGCCACATTACTGCAAGTCTTGCTCTCCGAACATGAACTTCCCCTTCGCGGCCTGCCCACCGCCGGGGCGGTTTCCCACGCGGGGCGTGCGCCCCCAGGTTTGCAGGAGAGCGGCGCAGGCAGTCTCAGCGGAGGTCAGCCCACTCTCCCATTCGCGCGTCCGCTTCCGCCCCGGCTCCTCCCCGTGCCCGCCGACCCACCGGCGCGGCGCTGACCCCGTGCCCTCTGGGCTGCGGCGGGAACGCTCGGGCCGCGCCGGCTGCCTCCTCTTCCTCCCACCGGGAATTTGGCGGATTCTCCCCGGAGGGGCCGGAAGACGGGGCGGGAGGGGCTGCCGGGGACCGCAACTAACCCCTCCGGGACGCCCGCTCCTCGGGGTTCCCTCTCGGGCCAGCCCCTTCCCGGTCCCCGGAGCCTCGCACCTAACCCCTCCGGGACGCCCGCTCCTCGGAGTTCCCTCTCGGGCCAGCCCCTCCCCGGTCCCCGGAGCCTCGGCAGGGTCTGAGCTCTCGCTCCTTTCCTCTCCTGCAAGTTTGTCTGCTTTCCTGAATAACTGGCGCGGGCGGACGCCCCTCCTCCCGGGCTTGCGGCGCGAGGCCCGCGTGTCCCCGCGCCCCCATTCATTCCGCCAAGGTGAAGCACCGGGAGGGAGGACGCCCCCGCTTCGCCCGCGACGTGAGGCTCTCCCTAGCCCAAGCAATGACCCCCCGCCAACCTCGCCCGGCCCGCCGCACCCCGCGCGCCCCCCCAGCGCCGAGGGCCCTGCCCGCCCGGGCGGCCGCGGCCCGGACCCCATTGTTGGCCGGCGCCCGGTCGAGTCCCGCGAGCTGCCGCGCCGCGGGGCCAGCAGCTTCAGCCGGCCTCCGGGCCGGCTCCGCCCACACCTTTCCAAGTTAGCTGGCGGGCGAGCCGCGGCGCCGGCCCCCTCCTGCACGCCCCCACCGGGCGGAGCGGGGAGCGGGCGGGGGCCCAACGCGCTGCGCGCTTTTTTGTCTCTGAATTCTCTCCCTAATGCTGCCTTGCGCGCTGTCACACAAAAGAGGGGACTTTCTCGCAGCTCAGCGCGAGTCCTCGCCTGGCGAGTTGCAATCCGGTGGGTCCTCCCACCGCGAGGCCCCGCGGGTCCCTGTCGCCAGCGGCCCCCAGAGATCTGTTGGCCATGTGTAGGCTATTTTGGGTGCCGCAGCAAGGTGGTGCAGGTGAAAGGGAAGCGGGGCCGGGCCCGCGGCCGGGGGGCGGGGCAGGGGTGGGGCGGGGTGGAGGCTCCGCGGACCCACCCCCAGCCCGGCTGCCCGGGCGGCAAGGCGAGGGCCGGGCAGTGGGTGTTGCCTTCTACCTCTGCGAGCGGGGAGGGGTTAGTTTCCCACAGGGGATTTCAACCATCACACTCAGAGCCCGCCTCCTAATCCTCGGGCGGAGCGGCTCTGGGGCCCCATTTTATAGCAATAAAGCGACTTGGCGCCTGCTGAGCGAGCCCCTCCCCGCCGCCGCCCCCGCCCTCGGCCCCACCCCGGGGCTCGCCCGCAGCGGCGGGGCTTTGTTTCTGGGGAGGAGGACCCGGAGCTCTTTTGTTTGGGGGTCTGGTGTCTTCACCCCCCACCTCACCTCACCCCACCCCGCCCCACCCTCCGCTCCTCTCCGGTTTCCTGAGCTGCGGGCTGCGAGGGAGGAGAAGCGGCGACTTGCAACCCCCTCGGCGGGGCCCCGGGGTAATTCGATGCGGGCCTGGCGAGGCTCCCCACGCTAGAGCGGGGCTCGCGTCTCGGCAGCCTCCACCCACCGGCCCACCCTACATTTAGCGCATCATGTGATCCGGGTAAGTCATTTGCAAGTACAACAGTTCCCTGGGTTGCCCCCCATTCATTTCCTGAGAACTGCAGAGAGCAGCTGAGAGGCTTTGCCTGTGCGTGTGCGAGTGTGCGCGTGAGTGTGCGCGGGTGACGCCGTGTGTGTGCGAGAGTGAGTGTGTGCGCGCGCGAGTGTGAGAGAAAGGGAGAGAGAGGGGGACTCTGTGTGAGGGAAAGAAAACAATTTCTCCTGCTCTGCAGCTTCTGTTCAGGTCTGTGCCGATTCCGTTTCTTATCAAAATAAACAACCCCCTCCTCTTTTTTTTTGCCATCCCAAATCAAACCGTATTCTCTTAACATGTTTTATTTGCCTTCTGTCATCTGTTCAAGTTAAATCATTTTGGTTGGTCTGTGTTCTTAAAGGGGGAAAGTGTTGGGAAGCGGGAGGGGGCCGAGGGAGGGCGATGCTGTTGCAAAGCAAGTAGCGTCGGTCGGATTCGTGGAGAAGAAAGGAGGAGGTTTCTCCACCCCCCCCCCATTTTTTTTTAAAAGAACTTATCAAGTAATGTGAATTAAGCAAATGTTTTTCCACTCCTAGTGTAATTGTTGATTGCAGTGTTTGCCTGACAGTTGCCAAGGATGGGAAATAAAACACCAGGGCTCAGTTGGGGCGGGGTGGGGTGGGGTAGGGGGACTGGTGGAAGTAGTTTGCCCCCAGGGATGGAGCGAGTTCGGTGACCAGCTGCCGCCCCGGGGCTGTGGGCTGAGGGTGTGCACTGGAGAGAGTGAAGGGGAAGGGGTTAAGGCGGAGATGACACTGCTAGCTTGAATAGTGGTCCTGGTGCTACATTCATTATTGTCTCTGGTCGAAATGATGTGTAACTGTCACTTGCTACAGTGCCCGGCCCGTGGAAGTAGCCAGGGGCTGGCCCGTGGCTGTTATTTTGAATTACGGGGGACTGGCCGGAGTTGACAAGGGGTAACTTTGCACGTCTACCCGGGCCGGGAAGCCCGCGGAGCCAGCTTGGGAGCCGCTTCTTGCCTTAGAAGCTTGCTCGGAGGACTCGGACTTGACCTCCGCGACATTAGTTGGTGTTCATGTTAGATGCTCCCCTACTGGGAAAATCAATCCTGCTTTTGTTGGGAAGAGAACTGCCTATTAGAACTTTGAAAACTTTTATCTTTGGGGAAAAGGGTGGGGTGCACTCAACAGTTCTGTTTCGAAGTGCATTTGAGGCAAAAGTACCAATTCCTTTGTTATATGCCCTGCAGCTCCCAACCCCCTTCACCCTGCGCTTTGAGTTTTGCATACTTTAATAGTAATAGCCTTAATCCAGCTGATAAAAGATGACTGTGTTAAATTAAAGAGTATTAGTACAACAGAATGTGTAATCTGGATAAACAGTTTGTGTGGTTAATATTGTCAGCTCTCTAATTTAACTGTACAGATGGTTTAAGTATCATTCTGTGTGGATTGTTTTAAGCAATTCCAGGGGCTAATAGATTTCGGCCGAGCACTCGGGTATTTTATTTTAAATCAGCTTTAATATATTCTATTTCCCTGCAAGAGCAGGGAGAGGAGCACCTCTATTTACATTTAGTGCATGTGCATCTGCATCTAGTGGCTTTAGTAGACATCTGCCAATCAAATACACGTCATTTTGCAAATCCATCTAGACGCCACCGTGCCCTTTTCTTACTGGAGGATAGAGTTGTTTAGATAAGTAAGTGCTTTGAAATAAATTTGGTGGTTTTGAACTTGCAGCAGCATGGGATGGGACTGGGAGTGGTCATTTTCAGAGTGGGTGTATTGCATCTTTTAAGAAATGCTCTTTGGAATTGGCGTTTAATAAAATCAGTGAAACCTCCTGCCCCACCCCCCAAAAAAGCCTGGTTGTGCTATTTGTAGACCTCATTCACATGTTGTTTACATTTTTAAAAACCACGTAGAAATTGGTTGTGAGAAAGGGGTATACTTTTAGGCTATAAAATGTGTTAACTGTAGAAGCTTTGTAGAAATGGGATGTTGAAGGACAGACAATTCTGTTGCATAAGTTATGTCTTTATCACTGCAGCCTGGCCAATCTGGAGACTAGCTTGAGTATATTAACCTTCTTTAGTTGGGGAGAAAGTACAGAAGGATTGACGGAAATGTGTGATGTATTTAGGAGAGAGGTTTATTATTCTACCATCTAATTCATAACTGTTATGAAATATCCTTAAGCTGCTAAAGTTTGGAGTGTTTTCACATAAAATTTTAATTTATGAACTAAAACTGTAACTAATAAAGCTGTGTCAGTAAACAAAACATTCTTGAAGGGTTTCTGTTTATTTTTGAAGTGCTTCAGCTATTTATTTATTAGTAACACGTATTTAACAGAAACTTCTGTCAGCAACTTTATTTTGGGAAGCTTTGTACTACTATTTATTGAATGAAAATTGTTGTGCTAATGGGTCCTTAATATTTTTTCCTTCAGCAACTGAATGTCATTTGGGAGAAAACTGGTCCTGGTATAGCATTGGAGACCTTGACCTTAGCAACTCTTGGCTGGTGTTTGTTTACTACAGCTGCAGCCTATGTGTGTACAGAGAGGGAAGGGACTGCAAACACTGGCTCTCACTCTCCCCAGGCCAAGGGAAAACAAATCAGGATGCTTGACGGTCATTCCGAAGAGCATGCATCAGGCATATAATAGTGATAGTGTTCTGGCCATTTAAAAATATATATGTTCCTCAGGGACCACTTCCTGGCCTCCTGTGAAAGGTAAACAAGCACTTTAACAGACTCAAGAGTGAGTTTTAGATTTAATATCATGAAGCAGGCTGTTATCACCTTAAGGAAATAATTTGGTCTTAAAATATAGGTGTGTTTTTATCTCCTCAAAGATGAAATAAGTGCTTAGGACTCTAGGCCTGTGCTGAGGGCATTTTGAACTCAAGCCAGTGTTGGTTGATCTAGAATACTGAGTAACTTCACCAGTGAGGTGGTATTATTAAGTAGTGGAACATATAAAGGCTCTGGTCTTTTTCACCGTTGTACAAAATGGCAAGTGTGGAATTTCATACTAATGTGAATTCATGTTACAGTAATCACATTAAATTGGGGGTGTCAAATGGTTTGTTGCCTTTATATATAGACTCTTCTTAGAGTGTCGACTTCTTAAATCTAGCTGTAGATGATTTGTGTATTGATACAAAATAGTTTTATTCTACAAAAGTAGAAATGGCACAGACTCATTTGAAAAGTTACTGTTTTTTTTGGGTAAATAAGTTTCCCCACTTGTGCTTCCATGTTAATTAATGAACAAGAGCTAAAAATACCAAAACTATTTTGTTCAGTATTAACACCATGATTATCTCTTTCTTTTAGAAAACAACTTTCACTTTTGTAAGTAATTCCTAAAATAGTCGCTTATCTTTATCCTGTACATTTTGAAAATACGATAGTGGAGTGGAAGTATCTATCTTGTTGCCCAGTGTTCATTTATTTTCTGCTTTAAAAATCATATTTATATATTATGCAGAACTTTCAGTCTTCCGTATGTACAAAATGTAAGGGTAAAAATATTAAAATTCAATCACTGGCAACACCCTGTACCCACAGCTTTAACTCATCCACCACAATTGCATCTCCCTGAATCAAAATGCCAGTAAACAGATGGGCTTTGCCCTAAGCCCGGCAGGTCAGCAGCCTTAGGCTCTGTGAGAGTGCCTTCATTTCTGAATTCCAAGCCCATCCAGAGAACTGTCTGACTTGAACCGGCCAGAATTCATTTTCAGGGCCTAGACCAGCCACACCCATCTGATGTCAGCGTTTGAGTTCCTGTGGTAGAGAACACATGCTGTGGCTTAAATGGTTACTTTCTCTATATATTCTCAGTAATTATGTTACAAAAGGATTTTTCGGTTTGGGGTGTTTATTGTCATAAAAGTGGCTACTTGGGTAGTCTTGTTGCTCCATAAAAATTTGTTTGGAGCTGGCTGTTGATTACAGGGTAGTCTCCCAAAGACTTCTCTGGTTTGGTCTGTCTGTTTGCCTTTTTTCAATTTAACCTTATTTATTTATTTATTTCAATGTAGGCTTTTATTTTGTAATTTCATGGTGTATGTTTAAAAATGTTAGCAAAACAACTGGACTGGTTCATATAGTGTTGCTTTTAGGTACGGATGGAATAGCAAAAAGCCCTTGCCGCTGTATTGTTGCACGGAAGGTGAGGGAAATAATTGGAGAGCCTTGGGGTTGTTTTCCCTGCCTCTTCAGAGGCGGTAGAAGCTGCCACTATTACAGCTTGTTGCTCAAGATAGGCAGGAACTGTGTTTCAAGTGCTACACTCACTATGCTTATCAGTATATATGGCTTTTCACAGTAATTTCTGGCATGATGTCTATGTATATACTACATATACATGTAGTCACTATTTTAGATATGTACATATGTATGTGTATGTTTTTACAGTGTGCACATACATAGTATTTATATTTGTAAATGTGAGTTTTTATAGTCTTCATGCGGGTAAACTCCCCTCACCCCCATGCATATGCCATATACATTGTGACTAGATGTTATGGTAAGAAGTCCACCCCCACCCCACCATTAAAAAAAAGGGAAAACATACAAAATTTTTTTTTCAAAATCTTTGTTTAGTAATGCTATTCTCACATGATATTGAGATTAGCGTGCACATTTATAACAAAACATGAAAACAACTCTGCCTGAAAGAAAACAAGTCAACAAAAATGGTAACCAAGACAAGTGACTATAAAAAAAAAATGAGGTAGCTGTAAAGAAAAAAAAAAAAACCCTTCAATCATTTCATAATGAGGTATCCACGAAGATTATACCTCCTGGAATCAGCCGTGATTTAAGTGGCAGAGATACTATACGTGGAGTTGGGCTCTCTTGCTTACTAACTTTGGATGACCCTGGTCACCTTTCTTAACCTCTCTGAGTCTGTAAAATGGGAAAAATAATATGCAGTTTAGAGGGCTGTGGTCATAGTCAAAGGAGATACTGTGGGTGAAAATCACT